AGGGCATTTAATACTTCAACTTGTTTTGAAGATTATATTGGTCAGGTGTTTGCAGGAAACTGACTTCACCCTACATGCTTCAAATGAATGGATTACTTACAGAGGTTTGCACAAGGGAACAAACAAAAGATGGTGGGGCACCCAGAGACTAGCAACAATAGGAAATCATTACCATCCTCAAGGCTGAAAGGACAAAGGGAGGAAATAATGTTACCTGAGCCCACTGAGACATGGAATCTTGGAAGAGGTGGCCCCACAGGCACTATAGTGTCAGGGATACAGCTAAGGCTGGAGATGCAGCCCAATGCATCAAGGGAATAAGGAAGAAATATCCCAGCCTCTCTCTCATCCCATCCTCCGATTGCCTGCTGGTGTTACCCCGTTGGTTGAACAGAAATGACAATCAGGACAGAAATGAGCTCTGGGAGCTGCAGCCTGCATGGTCTGACTTCCTGGCCCATGTAGCAGAGAAGAGACAGCCAGAGAAGGGGTTGAGGGGCCAGAGACGAGCCAGCACAAGGACTAAATGAGAAAATGAAATGCACTTTTCATATGACCTGGCACACAGTAAGCATTCAACAAATAGTAATTGTGGTTACTGTCAGTATTACTATGGCTGCAACATCAGTGTGCTTTCTGGTTATACCTGATGTCATCTTCACACCTCTGAGCAAGAGCCACAGGCCTCTGACTTCATGGTCAGCACGGCCCTGTTTCAGTAATGCTCATTCTCTCTGGTCTACTCGGTCTCACAGCTTTGTTTCTCCTGACACCAGAATCGTAATGATCCTATCTCTGTTCTCATCAGGCTAAATTAGGCTGTTTAACTTATCTTCAGGTTTGGAACAACAAAAAACAATCTCTAAGGAAAGTTCTTTTGGAAAAACTATCCAGGTATGTACCACAGATCCCTTTCCATATGGTCAGTTTCAAAGATTTTCTTTTTTCCTTCTTATCTAATGGACTGAGACTAAATGGTCATGCTAATGGCAACTGTCTTGCATTCCAACTGCTGCTGCCCTGCCATAAAGTACACATGCTCATGAGGGCTTATAAATGTTTTTAAAAAATCTTTACCTTGTCACTATTCAGCTTGCTGCTTTTTTCCACTCTGCTTTCATCCCTGTCACTGGCCCAAGGTATCAGGATCTGATGCTCCCTGACCCCATTACTACCTTTCTATTCACTACTGAAATTGTCAATGCCATTCTTTTCCTTTCCTCATTTTTCCTCTTTTCCCTAGCTTAGGTCTCCTGTCACATTTCCCATTCTTCTCAGTGCTGATCACAGAAGGCCGGCCTCTTAGGCAACACTGCTAGCCCATCAAACAGTTCCTGTCCTTCAAGGAGACAAACTGATCAATCACTGCAGATGAGATAAAATCTTTGGTTCTTTGACTCTTCTTGGCTGCTTGTCTGTTGCTGAGTGGCCAGGGTTTGAGGTTTCTGAAAGGCTAAATGTGATCACTAACCTTCTCACGTAGTAAAGTTTGATTGTGCAGTTTGGTTGGCGTGTGCTCCAGGCAGAAAGTCAGTGAATTGGGGATGGTTTAAAAAAGCAGAGAGCTTGTGATGCTAGGGCACAGTCTTGGATGGAAAATTCTCTTCCCCCATCTCCCTGCCCCTTTGGGTAGAGGCAGGAAGGAGAACCAAGATGAAATATCCAGTCCTTTTGGAGCTGGGTTCCTGATTCTCACAAATACCAGCTATAGTTACCGGTGGACCCTGAAGGGAACACTTCTCTCATTCTGTGAATAAGAACTTCTGGGGGTGAAGGGTTGGATGGGCACCATTTATGAACCTAAATATTGGCTAAATAACTGAGTCTAAATTGTGTTGTCCTTAATCTATGTGCATTGGATAATCGCCGTTAGTGGCACATGGAGTCTATGGATTTCATCATTCTTAACATTAATTTTGAAGACTTCTAATTTGAAACCTATTTAGAAAACAATGCTGTATTACTGGAATTCAATCCAGGGTAAAAACTGTAGTGTCTTAAGAACTGGACAGATAAGATTTAATAGGATTAAGCTTGGCTTTCAAAGTAAATTCTGAAAGAAACAAAGGAAATGACCTCCATACTTTAACAAGTCAATTCTGATGCCGTTAAAACATCTTCATTCCCCATAATACTTTGAAATTAAAAAAAAAAAAAGACATCTTCATTTACTCAGCTTGTCCACGAAGTAGCTAAGGCACCATTGCATTAATTTGAACAGGACCCAGCTTTTGAAGGTCTGAAAAATTCTACAATGAATAGCAATTGTTTTATTATTTATGAAAAAGAATTAAGAATGTCAACCTACAGACTTACGGTAACACAGTTACCTAAACCCACCTGCTGTATATAATAAAGGACAAAACTAACCAGCTATACTCAGGCAAATGTTTAGTGAATAAGGAAGCTCATTCTAGGAAGCATTAACCTTAATAAAAACAAAAACACACAAGTCACTCACTCCATTCCAGTCTTAACAGTATTTCACCCTCTTTCTTACTCATCTCTAATCACACAATGGCTGATGCAGTGATAAACCAAGACCATCTAAAACCGAGCTCTAATTTGCCTTTTTCTCAAAGGACAGTCATCGACGCAATCATTTAATGAGCTAAATGAACCCAACAAAATTCTCAGTGGGAGAGTTACAGAGAGGTCAATAGCTAAGGACCACTCTGCAATCCCACCAAACTTTTCACTGTAAAAAAATTTCCATCATCTAAGGGCTTTAAAAAAAAGACAGTCCTACCATTAAAGTATAGAACATAAAACTCACCTGAAATCAGATTTGCAAAGTTAAAGCTACATCTTAACCAAATAGTATTCCTGGGAATTGTTAATATTAAAATTATCTTAAAAATAGGGGGCAGGATGGGGAGACTAACAATGTCCGTCAACAGAGAATGGATAAATTGTGACATATTCAAACACTGGAATGCTACTTGGTAGTAAGGAATAGACTGTGAACACACTCAACATAAATGAATCTCAAAAAAACTGAGCATAAGTCAGACGTAAGAGTGCACATGATTTCATTTACATGAATTTCTAGAACAAGCAACACTAATCTATGCTGATAGAAATCAGAACAATAGTTATGTAGGGAGGGGTTAACTGGAAAGTGGCATGAGGAAATGTTCTGGAGTAGTGGAAAAGTGCTGTATCTTTATAGGTGTGGAGGCTATCAATCTCGTATTACAAATTTAAAATCTGTGTATTTCACTGAATGTAAATCATACCTCAGTTACAAAAATGTTTTATTTATCTACTGGATCCTAAAGTTAAATAAAATCTACCCCCTTAGAAAGCATCTAATGAATCTTACTATTATTAAAAATCAACACAGGACATCCAGAAAGCAGATATGAAGCTTTAATTCACTGTGGGCATTTCTGTGACCATTCTCTGTAAACTGTTTCATATGTCTTCACACAAATACATCTTTTACAAGACATCTTTTCCTACCAAGTACTGTGAACCATACCAATATTCCATGTAACTAGTAAAGGGTGTATTATATACCATGAACCAATTAAATATAAATACATAAGGTGAATACATATGTTAGAAAATTTAAATTTAAAAAAAAGTAAGAAAGGCTAAATACCATGGAAGTTTACATGTATTCTTTAATTCTGGACATCACATCATAGTGACAACCAAGTACAATAAAACCATAATTGCTTTCAGATAACGGTACAGATTTTCTAAACCCAATTATTTTCATTTCCACAAAGTCAACTCCACTGCATTTTCATTTCTATAGAGAGTAGACCAGCTTTCAGATTGTAGACCAAGTTTCTTTTGTAATATTATTACTATCTTGATCATGACCACAGGAAACCAATTTTATATTTCCTGTGCTATATAGACATGAGACATTATTCAGTATATAATAATATGGAACTCTTCAGTGGTGCTGTTCAAGAACAATTCAAATAGTAGCTGAAAATGGGTTTTTCTACAGCAGTCCACATATTTCATTAAAAGATGAAGGCTCTGTCAAAACATTTAGAAATAAATATATAGTACAGCCTTTCTCCCTCCAAAATACTGCCTAGAAAAATATTTCCAAGCTGACTTTAAAAAAAACAAAACCATCTCAAAAAACAATTATAGGAAGTTCTGAGCTGCAATCTTCTGGAGTTTATTTTCAATTGGAACAAATTTTGCAGCCAATACTGCACTGATACAGTATCCACAGTCTAGGAGTCCTTGATCCCTAAACACCGAACTAATTACATAATGAAAGCTGATCGTGTTTTGTATTAAAATCCAAGTGACTATCAAACACAATCATAGCCATTTTTTTAAACAGTGATGCTAGAATAAGTGATGAAAATATATGCACAGCTGAATACAGATCACCAAACACAGGAACAAAATGCCATTTGATGCATATCAAATAAGCTCCCCAAAAGCCAATTTGAATATATGTATTTTCATTTACTTTGATACAGTATTAGAAGGGACTGCACATAATTATGGAGACTGCTGCAAACAACACTTGACAATACTAAGTGTTCTATTAAGCATCAGGCATGCACAATAGTTATTTAAAATTTTTCATGTATATATCTTAACACATGTATCTTAAGCTACAATATGTTTAAAGCATTTAGTAATTTTAAACCAAATATTTTAATTGACCTATGTCTAAATGGGTAAAAATAAAAACTTCCTCCTGTCTCAGTACCTGACGGTAATATTAAACCTTACTCCCCAAATTGATATTTAAACTTATTTTATATATGTCATTATCTTTAGAATTCCAAAAGTGATGAAGATTCTTATCACATTAAATAAGAGGTATGATTCCCTGGCAGCAGTCTACCCACCACACACTTACAGCATGCCAAGTCTTCGGGGATTACATAAGAGAGTGATGTGCTGGTGGCTAAAGATGATAATAATTAAACATATCAGTCTCTTCTTTTTATTTTGGAACTCTTTATTTCAAACTAAATAAAGCTTTTCATTAATACAAATAAAAAATATTTTTTATTTAACATCAATATAAGAGTAGATAAAACTAAAAACCTTTATTGTCTTCAAGTGTGTGGCAAAATAGAAAATGTTTCAATTACATCAGGAAACCAGGGGTGGGGTAGGGAGCATAGTTCTTCCATTTAAGAAGCATTCCAGTCAAATAATCACAAAAACTTACAAATTGAGATTGCTTGGTTCTTGGTCATTTATGGCTTAAAGTACTGGATCTGAAAACCATTTCAGGGTAAAATAAATTTATATGAATAATGCATAGATTGTATACCTAGAAAATCATGCAATAAATATACGTTCTCATGTACATCAGAATCTTAGCGAAGAAAGGGGTCTGTAGGTGTGAAGAATATTGTTTCTTCCCTTTTTCCAAGAGACTACACCCAGAAAGATCCTTGCTTTTGGCCTATTCAAGATCCTATTTGCCAGGTCATCCTGATTTTCTCAGGTTGGTAAAAGAAGCCAATATCTCAAGACACCTATGATGAGGAATTGACTTGCTTCAAAAGTGCAGGTGCTGTGAGGTCTAACCTAGGCAGAACCAGACTCTCATGATCCTGCCACCCTGGTGCAAATCTGGAGTACTTGACTAGCGAGAGTATCAATCAAATGGGTAAATGCTTAGAATGACCCACTGGAAATGTTTATTATATTAGTATCTTTTGAAAATATTTATTTGCCCTTTAAATTTATTTCATGTGAGAATTGCCAGGATAAGATCCACTCACTATTCCTGGTTTTGATATGCCCCTACAACATGTGAATTGAACTGAACTACAATGATTGTAATGTCGTCTCTATACATCCGAGCAAGCTCTTCAGGAAGACTAAGCATTTTGGAGAGGCGCTCATGATCAACTGTCCCAAACTCATTGTTGCCCACAGCATGGCGGATGAGATGGGTTGCTGCATTCTGATCCTCAAATACTGAGGACATTTTGGTTCTCCTTTCTGTTAAAAGGCCATGCATCTGTCCCAGAGTCACCTTGTAGCCACCAACAGCTATTGGCTGTTGGTGATGCATGCCAGTTAGGTACTCACCCACAATCCTAACCACATCCTGCCTATGCATAGTCTCCCACAACCCATCAGTAGCCAATACCAGAAACTTATCCTGTGGCCTTAATCGGTGGTAAGTCACCTCTGGCTCAGCAGTGAGATAAGGAGGTGTGTAATAATTAGGAGGGATAAACTTGGTATACTCGTTGTCATTCAACTGGTCTGGGCCAGATTCTATCACTCTCTTTTGAAGGTCAATGCTCCATTTGAACTTTACATCTCCAAAAGCCCTAAATGGCATGAGCAAGCCAAGCAGCCGATCCTGTTTCACCACACTCTTGGCCTCATTCTTTGGGTGTTCCAATTTCAGCCGTTCTAGTTCTCTTTCATTCTGAGCATTGTGGTCATTAGACAGCGTGACTGCTGACCAAGAGCCGTCTTCTTCCTGCACACCCAGCATGGCTCGGCTATCACCAGTATTGGCCACATGAAGGTCAACACCATCCACATGGGCCACACAAGCAGTGGCCCCAGAAAATGCCACTCGAAGCACCAGGTAGTTGAGAAAAGAATTAGGATCACCAACTTGAGCCTCCAAAGATATGTCATTATCAAGCCTCTTGAAAGCATTAATTAAAGCCTCCTTAACATCAATATCAGTTGATTCGCCCGTGTTGAGATCTATAAGTTCTTGCCAGTAAGTCCTCAAGCTGTTGAAGTACAACTTGGATGCTTCCTTACTGAAGTAATCATTGGGGTGCTTGTGCCACTGGAGGATGGGTAGCAGTGCCCGACCACTCTCCACTGCATTTTCAATCTCTAGCAAAGTCTCATGGGGTAACAAAGAGACAGCAATATAATAAAAGAGTCTTTCACTGACAGCTTGGGAACAAGCACAGCCTGCATGGCCATCAAAAACCCCCAAAAGCATCCCTCTGGTCTGCAAACAGGTTGCTGCACTTCTCCGATCCTCGATGGGTGCATTTGCAGGCAGCTGATTGCTGTCAAACCCAAGGACAGAACTGACATTTTTTCCATCAAATTCTGGCACTTTGAAACTGTATTCATTAGCTTTAAGGATGCTGTTGACTTGCGGAGGTGTGAGGTAAAATTTCTGCGGTGTGGAAGCATATCTTCTTCCTTGGGTGTATTGCCACCAGTTCTCCTTTGGCCTACAAAAGGTAGCATACGCCGGATGGGGTGTATATCTCAGGCGACTCTGAGGAAAGTAGGGTGATGAACAGCAGAGATGTTTGTGGTGGCAGTAACACACAGTGCCATAGATTCTGCTCAGTTCACAATTACGGATGAGAGGAAAAAACAGTTGAGTTGGTGCTGGCATGGCATCAGAGAACAGCGGCAGGCTGGAACTTCTGACTGGGATTCCTAGAGAGCAAATTAGACAGATGTACACAAAGAAAAGAGTTACATTTCAAATTACTTAATCTAGCTTTGCTTTATTGCAAATATTAAGCAAGGCAATCTACATGCTAAGCTTTGTGTCAGGAGGTACTGTATTTTATACACATATCATGTACTATTTCTACAGGGTATATTCTGATAAGTACAAATCCAAATTATTCATGGAGCCAGGAATGAACTCCTGGCTCCTGTACTCGAGCTTCAATTTTCTCTTTTCTTCATATTTCTTTGTGCAGTGCAAACAGTACAGAATGTACAATAGATTTGGCTGAGGAAAGCTGAGGAGATGAAGATTATGTAACATTATGCAGTAGCAGTCTACCTGGCCAATCACTCTTCTCCCTCTCCATCCTTTAAAAAGGCCTTGAAATCTCCCACTTTGCACAAGGACTTCTTCCATTTATGAAGATCCTGTTCTAGATCCGTGGTCAATTGTTAGCATTGATTACACGTGGCTATCACCAAAAAAGGGTTAAGATGCACCCCCAAATATGTATATTTATAAATTACTTTTAAGTTATATACATATACTACTGTATTAATACAATATACATTATAACATATATAAAAAAACTCTACATAATGAAATAATAGAAATTCCAATATTTCCTTCCTGTACCCAAGTGAATGGTCTTGCAAACCCCGCTTCTCTAGACCACTGTGCCAATTTGACAAGCTAAGGGACATAGATCTGCCACCAACACCCGAATAATCCTGGAAAAGTCAGCTCACATCTTTGGGTCTCACTATGTTGAACTATAAGTGAACACATCAGAGCAGATGCTATCTGAGGCCTCTTCTACGATTCGTGCCTTTATGTTTGTTGAAGTGAGGCTTTGAAATCAAATATAGGTTTTATTCACTCATTGTTGAATTTTACTGTACCCTCAGTGATCAAAAAAAAGGTTTACGTATTCTAGTAGCCCTAAAATTTTGTTAGTAATATACATGGTCTCAGTTCTAGAATTTAATTTACTTGCTACCATTGTCCCCTGTTTAGCAGCCACAAGGAAAAGCTATAGAAACATTTTCATTTCCTATGGATCCAAAGTAGAATTCACCCCAAGAAAAATGTTTTCTCAGATATGGCAATTACCCCAATTTCATGTATACATGTATTAGAAACATCACATTGTACATCATAAATATGTACAATTACAGTCAATTATAGATTAAATATTAATTAAAAAGGCAAAAAAGTTTTCTCTTACTTTAAAAAAAAGGTATCTATTTGCCCTAGGAAAGCAATAAAGAATAGTAAAATAACAGTCTAAAGTTTTGATTTAAAAGGTACAGCATTACAATCGTGATTTAGAAAAAAATTACTCACTATAGGACACTGAAAATAATTTGCTGGGCATTTATCTAGAAAATTTAATAACCGTGTATCATTAATCCAGATAATTTATGTAAAAAAAAAATCCCTCTTCTTCCTCAACAACATACATTTTCCCTGAATTCTTGAGATATTTCTTCGAAGTATTCATTTGGATTATAAAGAAACAGAATTTGGAAATACTTTAAACAAACTCAATAAACAAAAAGGAATAAGGAAAATAAAACCATTTGAGTCTTAGTATCAACAATTCCTTCCCAAGGCTGACATGATTAAGAAAAAAAAATTTACAAATAGCAAGTGTTAGCTATACAGTAAATTATTTTCATGTACCTTCTTTTGGAGAGTAATTTGAGAAGACTTCATAAGTAAGGGGGAGGAGGGAAGCAAAGAAAACTAAACACTGAATAATCACTGATTCTTGTTTGCTCTGTAATAAGCACTGCATAAGCCAGCCATACAGAAAATGTTTTTCAAGTGGTATAAAGTAACATTATTTTAACTGCACTAAGAAGGGATTTGTTCACAAAAATGAAAACAAGATCAGGCAATAGAAAGCGATGGCTAGAATCTGGAAATAAGAATCCATTACTAAATAAGCATCCTGAAATGCAATAATGAAAAACAGAAATTCCAGAAGAACAGGAATCCATCAGAGTTAACCACTTAAACAACTGCACTTCAAACTGAATAACTGAAAGTCGTCCAAAGGTTAAGCGTATATGACTGAGCCAGGAGATGTGCTCAAATGTTGGGCCACATGACATTGGCTTCCAGATATAAACCCTATCTCTTTTTAGGTTTGCATGCAGAAAGTACATCAGCTCACGTTATGCTTTTATAAAGATTTTCTGTAAAAATATGCATCTTCATGAAAAGAAATTTTCTTCACAATTTTACGTCTGCATTTGTCCTTAAAAACTTAAGAATCTCACAGGGAAAAAAAAAAGTGTCTGTATGGAATGTAGATTGACTCAAAGTACTATGGGGGGACAGGGAGAGTTGATAGATGCGTGACAGGGCTTGACTGTCTATTCAAGGAATAACAAATCCAGGAAACCTGTACTTTCTTTAAATTCCTGTTTTGACATTTTTCCTGCTTTTATAGCTGCCTGAAAAAGGAATAAAACTTTGTGGCAAAAAGCTAATGATTCATGCAGCAGGTGCTTTGAATACTATTTAAATTCAAACATCAAACAATCAAATATTCAACCACATTTTTCCTTCCAGGCAAAAATTCTCAAGATTAAAAAGAAAAAATCAGAGAGTAAATTGTCTCAACAGTATCTTTCAGGGGTTTAGTATATGGACCGATATTGTATCCTAATCCCCCAACTCCCAACATGCCTTCAAAAGACAATATTCTTAGGGAAGTTGGAATTCATGAAAACTCTGCTGTGATTAGTCAGTGTTCTATCCTCATCAGTACAACTGATATATTCTCTCCATCAGACCACATAGCCTTAGGAGTCCAAATACTTTCAAATGCTTTCATAAACAGTAAGTGAGCATTGGAAAACTATTATCTTTCTGATTATCCTGTGATGCAACAAGAAAAACCCCTATAACATGAAAACTTTTGCTGACACACAAGCTTGCTAAATTAATGAAGTAGATGGCTCTCGATCAGGCACTAAGAACAGAATCAAGTTACAGTTGTTGGTAAAAAGGAGAAGTGTCAAATTTTCAAGTTATTCCTGACCATACTTTCACAGAAAAGTTCCTACTCCACAATCCAGACTCAGCCACATATAAATGCAGCATCTTAGTCTTAGGCAGATTTGGCCGATTTTGCCAATGACTAATAAAGAGAGATGTGCTGCAACCAGAAACAGCAAAGAGACCCATCCATTCCTACTGATGTGCTCGGCAGAGCCCATGCCAAGAAATGATTCCACTTCGTCAATAAACCCAGGGACCAAATTAATTAGAAAATGCTATTACTGTACCTACTCCGGAGCTCCACAGCTTTGCAAAGCTTCTAATGTAAATGAAAAAAAAGAAAAGCTACACTAGCCATTAAATGTGTCAGAACCCCAGTTTATGTAATCCAATTGCATTAAACAACCTACATGAGATTCTCCGCAATTTTTCAGCATTTTCTGGAAATGCCTAGCCATTTCAAAGCTCTTGTTATCTTAATATGAATGAAGAAACCGGTTTCCTTTGGACGACACAAAGCACCATGCCAACACTTGTTTGATTAGTTTCCTTTGTTTCTACCTGAAAATTCCACTCACGAAGGCATCAAAGCTATCCCAATTCAGAACGCCTTTGTCCCCTTTTCTTATCTATCTCATTCCTTAATTCCATGCTGACCCGCCTAAAACCATCCACACACAAAATCCGTTATCATCCTTCCTGGGTACCCAACGCAGGTAGTTAAGTGAATACCTACCAATTCGCCTGGGCCCGGGACACACACACATTCTCCTGTCATCACAACACGGAGCCGACAACATCCACAACCCGCGCGGGCAGCAGCAGCGACAGCAGAACCGGCCCATTGAAAGCAAAGCAAAGATGCTCATTAGAGGAGGCGAGGGCGGGAGGCGGGAGCGGAGGAGGGGCGAGGTCTAGCTTCAGCCCGGTGAATGGGCTGGGAGGGGGGAAAAGAATGGAGGAGGAAAAAGGGGTGGGGAGAAGAAAGAAACCAAACAAACAAACCCACCCCGACGGGGAGGCACAGCCACAGCTCGAAGCCGCAGGGACCCAGGCGCAGGCAGAGGCGCGCCCCGGGGCCAGCCCCTCCATCCAGCCGGGGCGTGGATCCCAGAGCGCACTGCATCCCCCGCCCACTGCCCGCCGGTCCCCAAGCGGCGCTGACTTCAGTCCAGAAGACCCGAGGTCGGCCGGCGGCGGGCTGTCAGCGGGGCCATCCCGCACTCCGGGGTGCGTAAGGGGAGACCCTCAGGCAGACACGCCGCGCCGCAGCCTCCCCGGAGCTCACCCTCCTGCGGGTCCCCGTGGCACCTTCCGCGCTGACAGCGGGCGCTCAGGGCTCTGAGGATCCGAGGGCTGCAAGGCCGGCCCGCCCCCACCCAACGCCCCCACCCAACCCCCAGACGGCCCCCGGACAGCCCCCAGCGCCGACGCCCCCGCGCGCACCTGGCGCTCCAGGGCTCCTCCCGCCCTCCGCACGCCCGCGGCCGCCGCTCCGCAAGCACGCCGCGCGCCCCCGTCCCGGCGCCTCCCTCACAACTTTGGACGGGTGGAGGAGGATTCCGGACGGGGCGGCTCGTGGCCCGGAGCAGGGAGTACGAACCGGGCACAGCAGGAGACTAACCGCTTTTTCCTGACGAGGCGGCGGCAGCGGCACTATGCGGCGCTCCTTCCACGCAGCCCCGTGCAGCTCGCCGGAGCGCGGCCCCACGACCCTGGCCGGCCCACTCCGCACCCCTACCCGCCGGGCCGCCACCCTGCCCCGCCCGCACGTTCGGGCCGGAGCGCTTCCCGCCTCCCGATTGGCTGCGCGGTGGCGGGTAGGCGGGGAGGCGGAGGGAGGGCCGCGGCCGGGCGGAGGGGGCGGGGGCGGAAGAGGAGCGTGCTCCCCGCCAACTTTGTGACGTCATGGGGGTCAGACAATCCCTTCCATTCGGCGCGAGCCACCCATTGGTTCCACGGGCCCGCCTCACGTCGCCGCGCCCGGGGCGGGTGGAAGGTGGGGCTGAGCTGTGCTAGGGGGCGTTGGCGGCGGGCGGGGGCTAGAGCCTGGGCCGGTTCTTGCATCTCCGCGTGCGTGGGGCGGGAGGGAAGCGTGCCGCCCCGCCGGGTGGGCTTCCGCGAATCCCTCGCACCTCCGCGGGGAGCCGGCAGCAGCCAAGCCTCTCCCGCGCCTCGTGGGTGGGTGCAGGCTTTCCAGGGTAGACTGCAGGAGCGGCTTCTGGCCCAACAGGAAACTAAACTCCCTGAAGTTCACCACAGCCTGGAATATAAGGCATGACGAAGAACCTCGAGAGTATCTGTTGCTTCATTCATTTGATACGTTGCAGATTTTAGGAGCATTACCTCGGCTAATGTTTTCTGTCATTTTCCGGACACCCTTCAGGTCCCAGGGAGAGGAAGCGGATCTAAATAGACAAGAGGGAGCTGTAATGAAGGAATTCTTTACCCTTTAGCACAGGTGTGTGCTCACCTTCTCTGAAGGGCTTTGAAATCAGTATGATTTGCCTTGGGTGGTTACAAGGAAAAAGGGTAGAATACAGCCTGGAGAAGTGGGAAGAACACTGGACTTGGAGTCAGAACAGCTTCATCCAAGTCATTTTCAGGGTTGAGTCCCATTTCCACCCCATGAGACTAAGTTCCTGCATCTGTATGAGATGAGATTAGGCTTAAGGTGGCATTAACATTGGTTGCGATTAAACAGAAGACATCCCGAGGGTTCTTAGTTACCTCCGCACACACACACCCCTCTTCATGGGATAGTGAGTGGCTTCTAAAAGCTTTCTTGGAGATACCAGGTAGATTGTTGTACTTACCCTGCTTAGTTTTAACCAATGAGTTAACTTTGATTTATTAATATTACACATCTGCTTACAGTTCACAAAGTGAAGAGGACTGATAAAAATTTAACAGTACTGTGGAGTTCTATATTTATTAGCCCTAAATTACCTGATTTTTATGTGATACAGGAAAAACAGTATCTGCCCAAACTAGTTCTTCATGACTCCTAGATCTTTCAAGTTGCTCTATTTTCTAAGTGTTAGAGGAGAACCATTTTCCCATTCCCAGGTTGCCCATGGAACTTCTGTGGCTAGTCTGTCCAGCCTTCATCCCAGTTTTCATGGGTCCATCTACCTCACTTCACCCTCTCCTTTTTGCTTCTCAAATGAGCTTCCTATAAATTTGCAAGTATTGTTCACTGTCTTTTTCTTATTACGCATCTGATTTATGTTTCTGGTTTTCTCTTGTCTCGTAGATACAGTATAGGATGGTGTAGCATAGTGATTAAGAGTGGATTAAGAGTGGGCCAGACTTCCTGGGTTCCAGTCTTGGCTCTGCAGCTTACTTTGTGGTCTTGGGCAACCTCTGCATGCCTCCGTTCTCTCACGTGTAAAATAAGAATAAGGATAGTAATAACTCACAAGGCTGTATTAAGTGAGTTCATGTGTGTGTGTGTGTGTGTGTGTGTGTGTGTGTGTGTATAACTTGCTAAGAAAGTACGTAGCATGTAGTAAGTGCCAAATAAGTATTAGCTATTTTTAATATTATAGACATGTCCAGATCAGTGTTTTAGGTTAAGACTCCCAGAAAGAGTAAGAGATCCAGGCCCCCAAGTGCAATCTATTCTGTAGTTAGATACTAATAAGTTATTAATAGAATGGAGAGTCTTAGAACTTAGGATATCACTTAAAGTAATCTACATGAGGAGTACCTCTTAGCCCTAACTGGGCAGGCATGAAAACCAGTTAACTGAAACTAAGAGTAGATTTTTAAGGGCTTTTGCCTTAGGACCCAGAAAGGAAGTTTATACTAGACTTCTCTCTTGTCTATAAACTTTTTCCTAATGGTTGTGAAAGAGTAATGAGAATCCAGAATTTATACATCCATATCAAATGCTACTTCAAAGTTGTTACCTTGGTAGCAACCCTTATTCCACACTGACAATGCCTTTATTCAGAGCACTTTTAAAATTCCCTTTTCAAATTATTTTCAGATCTGTGCAGGAAACTGCAACTTGTTTTACTATAACCAACACTTTGGTTTTATACCAAAATCATATTGATTTCCCCATCTTCTTAGTTCTGAATGACCTGGCATTTCTGAAAATAGTACCAACTCTCAAAAAACTGGTATTTGCCACCACTAAATATAGTAAAAAAGAAATGTTTCAGAAGTATTAGATGTCGAGAAGTCAGAATAAAGCCTTCCCAAAGTGATGGCTTTGAAATAATCTCATTTAGAGGTATAAATTCTGTTCTTTAGTTGCAAAGTTACATGATTCAGTGATAAGTATATTGTAAATAAAGTGTCCTTCTGCAGAGGTACCAACTGCAGGTACCACTGGAGGAGATTCTTTAGTGTCTCAACCTTGATTCTCCTCTGGCCTGACTTTGTTCCTGTTTCTAGATGGAGGTCCATTTGGCCACCCAATAGGCTTGCTTCAAAAGTGCTGTTTGTTATCACATGGCCATCTGATTAGGGCCAGGGCAGGTCCTTAGGTTGGCTGCTCTGACCCCACAGACTATTTTAGCCACCAGAACACCTGTTGACACTTCGACATTGGAAGGTGTTGAAAAGTAGCACTGAAACAACCCAGGATTGTTGCAGAGAAGGGCAGGCAAGGAGAGAGGAAGGGGCTTCAAAGATAGTGTGGTACAGAGAAAGCACTGTGCAAAAATGCCTGTTTTGTCTACACAAATGCTTTCTGTGATATCAAAAATGCAATGATGTTTCCTGAATGTTACCCTTAACATTTTCGTTCTCTTGCCCTAGAACAAACCTAGTAATTAACAAATGCTTGACCAGATTGGCCTGGTGTTCTTATGGGCAGGTGATAAGACCCTTAGGGACTTGGAGATTAGCTTTGACAACACAGAGATGGTCCAGCAGTCTTAGTAGTGCCAGTCAGGAAGCTTAAAATAGGCCTGCATGTGGGTCTGAGGTGTCAGCCTGGTGATTACTGACTTACTATGGCCTTTGCCAAAATCAGCAGTCACAGGAAAGAGAGGCTGGTTTACCACTTTTCCTCTTTTGCTCCTGCTTCTCTACAGGTCTTGGCTAGGAAGTCAGCAAGTAATTGCTAAGTAACTAAAGAATGGGTGCCTCTTTTATTAACACCTCAGTGTTGAGAGTTGCTTCTTTGAAATTAAGTTATTTGGAGTTATGCAGTGAGATTGACAAACCATGTACACAAAAGAAACAGAACATGTATTGCAGCCTCTCTCCTTTGAGCCAGAGGCTGTTCTAGGTGTTTTCACATTGATCTCTTTTTCTATTTGAAAGGCATCCACTCTCATCAGAATTCATAAGGCAATGGAAGATTTAAGAAGGAAAAAAATATTCTCTTGCAAAATTAGGGACCAAAGTCTCTTGGCTAACAGGCAGCAAGTTTCTGTGCATTAGTTGAACATGACAAATAATATGAAAAGTAGGTATTGAGGTTGCTTAATTATAGAGGCTCAGGCTTTTAGCAAAAGGACTGCAGTCTGTGGACTTGAGACTGGCATGTACTTCAGATATTCCTGTTAGTGAGGATATCTTCAAAGGCTAAGGATGACATGCATGGGCAAAAGAGAAATGAAGGGGGCTTGGTATTACTGTCTGGCCATCGAATAATTTGGCAAGATTAATTTTTCATTCAGTGTAATTTGATAGATGGATTTCCCAAAATATGGAGGGTATAAGGTAGAAGGAGAGCTTCAGGGGAGTTGAGACATTGGGGTGTGTCTAGAGCACTTCTTAGGTGTCAGGTCATGGCTGCCTCTGAAGCAGGTTCTGCCAATCTGCAGACTTCAGGAGTCCTCAGCCTATGAACTCAAAGATAGTAGTGGCTGATTCGCACACTTCTTTAAAGCTATCATTCTTTGCTTATCTTAACTACTTAGAGTGTAAGCTTCTGAAGAACGGGGACCAGGTCTCTTTATGCACCAGTATAAACCCATGGGCTGGCATATAGTGAAAACTAACAGGTGGTGGGTGCTTCCTTTATACCATCCCCTCTTCTAAGTACATTGTCTTATTATGAGGTGGGTATTATCCCTATATCCATTTCACAAGAGAGGAAACTGAGTCTCAACAAGGGTCATTTGCCCAAGGATCACATAAGTAGGCAGCTGTGGAAGCATCTACGCCAGAACTTGCACTCTAAGGCAGCGGTCCCCCACCTTTTTGGCACCAGGGACTGGTTTCATGGAAGACAGTTTTTCCATGGATGGGATGAGGGATGGTTTGGGGATGATTCAAGCATGTTACATTTATTGTGCAGTCAAACCTCTCTGCTAATGATAATCTGTATTTGCAGCTGCTCCCCAGCACTAGCATCACCGCCTCAGCTCCACCTTGGATTATCAGGCATTAGATTCTGATAAGGAGTGGGCAACCTAGATCCCTCACATGCCCAGTTTACAGTAGGGTTCATGCTCCTATGAGAATCTAATGCCACCACTGATCTGATGGGAAGCGGAGCTTATGCAGTGATGTGAGTGATGGGGAGTGGCTATAAATACAGATGGAGCTTAGCTGGCCTACTGCTCACCTCCTGCTGTAAGGCCCAGTTCTTAACAGGCCACAGATGAGTACCAGCCCATGGCCCAGGGGTTGGGGACCACAGCTCTAAGGCACTATGTTATAGTGACCACTACACACAAAGTGCTCAATAATGAATAAATGAACTTGTTTTAAATGAAGAAAAAAGTGACACATTGCAACAGGT